ATAGAAGCAAAATAGGATTCTTTTAAAACATTTTTTTGGGGGCTGGGGATTTAGCTCAGCGGCAAAAGCGCCTGCCTGGCAAGCACAAGGTCGTGAGTTTGGTTCCCGGTACCGGAAAAAAAACAAAAACAAACAAACAAACAAAAAAAAACTAAATAAAAAAAAAAACATTTTTTTTTCTTTTGTGTAATACAAATGTTTTCCTGACACCAGTTGAAAGTCAGAGCCATTTTAAAAAATCGATTTGAAATAAATAAATAGTGATGTTTATTTGGAGCAAAGATACATATTATTGCTTCACACTTGAGTTAAAATAAGGCATTCTGGTTTTGATTTCTTTCCCCGAGTTTACTCCCATTGTCTCTCAATCTTCCCTTCCCCAAACCCTAATACATCCTTTTATTTTTGTCTCCCAAAACACTTTTAAAGTTCCTGCAGTCTTACAAAGATTGAAGATCATACCTAACTTGAATGCTTCTCCAAAAGCCCTGTTCTCAGCTCTTATCCTTGGAGAGTCTGATTCTTGAAATCTGGAGTGTGTCTTGTAACTCGAGTTTTCAGTAAGAACCTCAGCTGATTCTTGAGCTTATATCTTGAGAAAGACTGGGAGGAAGAGTTTAACTTGTTTATGCAATAGAAAAGACTCTTCATAATTTCCTTTGTTACCTTTTCTAGCTCACACATACCTTAACCTACCTCTGTTCTTTCCCCTAGGAATGCTAGTTCCCTTTGCTCTATCTCTGTCTTCACTTTATCAAGTGCTAAATCAAATCCTTTCTCTTGGTGGAGACTTCTATTTGTTTTTCCCATAAAGGTCAGGTTTTATAACTTATAACCGCTTCATAGGTTCTATAATTTATAAACGCTTAGGGATTAGTAGTGTGACTTGTGGGTCCTGTAAGATTCTTCTCTTTGTCCCTCATCCGGCCTCATACATAACCAACACTGTAAAAGCGGGCGGGTTGATTGAATGAGTGACAATGTCATTCCACTACGGCAAGAGGAGGACAGACTCCACTGCTTCAACCCCGTGAAGTCATTTCTTGACATTTTCTGGCTTGCTATTCCCCACGGGCATTTTTATTGCTCTCATTTCCAATGGGATATTGCTTATTTTGTTGAGTAAAACAAGAGATAATGCTTATCACTTATTTGACTGCATTAGTTGCATATTTAAATTGCCTAATACCCAGTGCTGGAGAAAGGTAATTCATACCAAAGTGAAAGTTTTTTAGATTCTATTTGAAATGTAATACCAGTTTCACTGGTAACAGTTTTTCACCCCTGGTGAATCTATATTGCTAAAGGCTTTCTTACTTTAAAAAAGTAGTTCAGCTTTCTTAAAAGAAAAATGTGTGATGTTCAAAATAACTTATTTGTCAGTAGCTAGAATATAAGTTTGCACTGAGGTCTTTAGAATAAATGTAATATTTGTCACAAAGCATAGAATCTTCAGTGCATTTGATTCCTGCGCTGTCTTCTTCCTATATGAAGCGAGGCTATGTATTCTAGTATAGTTCTGGTTCTAGCCTGACAAGGTGTTCATATACACTGAGATATACTTCATGCTATTAAAAAGAATATTTTCCTGAGAATGAAAAGGGAGCTACTTTTATCAGTGTTTTTCAAGATTGTCTCAAGAAAAGTACGTCCGTTTGGGGTTTGGGGGGATGGTCTCTCAATACTATTTCTGCATAGGAAAAAATGTCACTATTTTTTCTCTTATTTTGAAAATTAGGCATTTGTTAAGTCACTTTGGCCAAACAGAGATGATTTGTTAATTTGTCATTTGCCGGCACTAAAAACCTCTTGACAGACAAGAAAGACGTCCATTAGGCACATAGCCTTTTCTTTCGCAGTAGTGGTTTTGTGCATTAGTGGATGTCTTTGGCCGTGATGGTCTCCCGTAGGCTTGGCTGTGCAGGAGCAGGTGTGAGCTTCCGGAGTGTCTTTACAAGTGTCTCCGTGGGGCTTCCCTCCCATGCCTCTGCAGGAGACAGCTCATCTGTTTAATCCGTATGTTTCAGTCAACCTTTCTTATTATGCAGACAGGGCTCTGAGGCTCAGCTGGATTTTGACTCTCCGAATGAATTGATGGGGCTCTTTGATCTTAACTATGTATTGCATCTGTTTCATCTTTCTTCTTAATGCATAGTCTTCCAAACTCCAATTCTAGCTGGCACTCCTAAAATATATTAATTACTATATGAACAAAAATTGTCATTTAAAATTCAGCTACAAACCCTACTTTTCATTCTGGACTATTTTCTTTTTGTTTTCATTTGCAGTGGCAATTTCTTTTGATATCCCCAAAGCAATTTAATTGCACTGCCCTACAAGAGACCACCAGACTTGAGAGTATTTAACAATGTATCTGTGGGTGTGTTTCATGGAGCAGGGTCAGATTTGCAAAGAAAATGATAACGACTGATGTTTGCAAGTTAGTAAAATATGTAATAGCAGGTTATTTTATTCATCTACCACACTGAAGCAAATCTACCAGAGAAATATGAAGATCCTGTTGGGAAAAATTCCCCTTTTTGATAGGAGCAAAGAAGATGTATTGCCATGACTATCAGTTTGAATCAAAGAAAATTATATGGAGAAATCAGTCCAGGTCATAAGGCATTGTAATATCATCTTCTTTCATAAAAATCTTTAAAATGAAATAAATGCATATGTTCTCATGTAAAGTGGTGGAGGTGGAGGTAGAGACATTTTGATAGAAGACTAAGGATTGTTTGCCTGTCCACATGAAAGCACATAGAGTTACGAATGACTGAACCAGAAAATACTGTTTTTATCTGAATAAGCCTAATCTACTATTTTTGTCACTGATATCATTGTATTTTTACTTTAATCCTTCACAATTCTTAATTTTTTTCAGTGTACCAGGATCTTGTGATGATCGTGTAATGTCAAGCTGTCAAAATAATTTCACTGAGCACAAAACTGATATTTCCAAAGAGCCAGAGGCCCTTGAGTTATGCAAAGGTCTTTTATAGAGAAAGAGAAGAATATGATGATTTATATTATTTAACACATACTTTTCTACCTATCAGTATACTAAAAATGCTACTAACTGTTAGTGAATTGTCAGAATACACATTTTCTTAGACATATTTAGAGATAAAATATGTAAAGAACTTGATTCCTCACCATATCTCTATGGTGTTGCTGTTTTTAAAATATTTCGTTAACTTTCCTGCTCAAAAAGACCTCTCAAGCCTGCATGTGGTACTCAACTCTAAAGGAGGGAGATTTTTATCACTCATTTTGCACTGGTATAGAATCTGAGGATAAATCTGCAAGAAGGAAATCTGAGGGGCTATCCCAGTCCTTTGGGCATAGCTACTCTGAGACACACTAAAAATACCTTTTTTCTCTAGAGACATTTTATCTATCTCGCTACCAACTGGGCTATAGATTGTTTGATTTACTTACTTTGCCAATGAGTGCTTTGATTTGAAAGGAAAGATCTAATGCCATCCAAGCAAAAGCAGTTGTTCTCAAAATGCTTCATTTAGCTTTGCCGGCCTTAGTTGCTTTAGTTTCTTATCTCATACACCTGATTGCTGTGTTCCTTCTACAAAATGGAACAAAAATGCCTATGTAGCCTAGCCTACGATTCCGTGTGGCTTAAACTTCTGGAATGTATGAGTGGGCCTTTCTCATAGGAAAAGGATCAACAAAAAGTAAAGGCTCTGACTTTGTTTCCGTATTTTCTTGTGACCTACAAGTCTCTAAAATTCCTAGTCTTGTTAGAATAATAACAGTTTGGTCCATTGATGTAATTCTCAGGGAAATACGGCTTACTGCATTAGAATTTATTTAAAAGATGAAGAATTGCTTCATTTGTATTTCCTTGTGTCCATCAATTCTGACCTATACTCATTTCTTAGCATGTTTTCTTATTATTTTCTAACAGTAAATGAGTGGTTATATGCACCTCTACTATTTAACTAAATATGAGAAGAGATTTTCTGATGTTATCTGCAAAGAAGGTAGAGGAGAAAACATTCATATTAGCTGTGCTGGTGGAGATACAGTTTCTAACTATTAGCTCCCTCGACAGAACTCTCACAGCGGCTCTCTGACCGTGCATTTGGCCTACGGCTGTATCACATTGTGGCCTCACTTCTTGAACATCTTTGGTAACCATCACCTTTCAGGGAACCAGCATCAAATCCCAGAATCTGCCCAAAGATGTTGTATTTCCAAAGCCAGAAGTACAAGTGATCATTTACTAAGTCACAAAACCAACCTAGCAGAGGGTTTAAAATAGCTTGTACAGAAAAGAAAAAGATTAGAAGTGTAAGAATGTATTGTGTGTAATAAGCCTCAGACTTATTTCATAAATGGATTCCTTTCCAAAAATAGTTTGAGTTTTGTGGTGCTTGACTGTGCGGTAAATATTTTCTTACCACAGATTTCAGTGAGGAAAAAAAAGCCTGAAAAACAAAAAGAAACGTAATACTCAGTTAAACCAAATAGCCTCTAGTAAACTTTTGCCTAGATGTTGGGCTTTTAAGTCAGAACACTATTTTTTTCCTGTACTCAAGTTCTATCATTTTTCAACAATTATCGTCAAGCAAATCAAGGGAATTAACTTATTCTAATAGAAAACAGTCACGGAGACTTAGCCAGTGCTTGCAAAATTATTACAAGCTAGGCTATACGCACTTACTGAAGGTATAATGTTCTTATTGATTAAACCATTTAGCCTTAGGTTGTTGTATAAGAAACAAAGATAAATATTTACAAGAGAAGCATAGAGTCACATAAAAAGCATTTTTGTTAATACCTTATTTTGCTATCGAGCCAAATGAATAAATATAAACTATGATTGTGTATTTGACAAGAAAGAAAAGAACAGGTATCATTCTTTAAAAATATCTCTGGCTCAAAATCATCCCATTTTCATTTTTCAAAAGCTTTGCATATATGGCCTTCTTTTCATTAAAGGTGCTATCATGTTTTCCTTTATTTGTATCCACCAGGAGTTAACACAGGGAAGGAACTCCAACTGTACTTTTGTCGCTCGCTTGCATTTTATCTCGGGACTGAGAGACATTGAAAAAGGTAAGAGAGAGGGAGAGGGAGAGAGGGAGGGAGAGGAAATTATAATTTGGTCATGCATAAGTGTCTGATCTGGTTTAATATTCATTGTGTTCATTCTCAATTACCCATAATGTCCATGGTGGAACAAAACCTTGCTACTCCACAACCTTGGTACTCCAGGAGCATGTCACATGAGAGTTTGGCAGACCTGTAGTGTAGCACATTCCACCCCAGCCCTACTGAGCCAAAGCCTACACTTTAATAAGATTCTCTGGTGTTTTACATGATTGTTAAGACTTGAGACACGCTGGTGTATAGGATCAGTATTACCAATTGCTGCACGGACTTGTGTGCATTTCGTAGGTAGCATTTGCTCCAGGATGCAAAATTAATAAGTTGAACAAACCAGCAGTGCTTCGTGGTCTACAGCTGTGATCGACCACCTCTAATAGTGTCAAGAATTACTGGTGACAACAGTAACATGTCTACTGATGAGGACACTGGCTAGTAAATGAGTTGACCGTTTCATGTAGTCCTTCAAGTAAGGCATTAACCAGCCTCTTTCCCCTATGAGTTTTGTAAGCTGTTTACAAAAGAGGCATTTGAGGCACCAAATTGCCTAAGATCAACACCCCCTTGTAAACCCAGGCATTCTGATGACTGGCAGCCTGTATGCCCAAATAGTCTGTGATTGGTAGTTGCTCCTTTTAAAACTAAGAATGATGATTTATTTTGAAAGGGAAGAAAATGCGACCCTTGAAAGGTTCCTGTGAAGGAGTCAATTGACATTTGTTCAGATTATATTTGCAAAGAGCAATAATTGTCAAATTTGCATATTCAAAGTGCCAAGGAATACTTTAATTCTGGTCACACTTCAAAACTGCAGGTCATCACTTCACAGTGTATTCTGTACTAGGAGTAAGTGCCATGTGGCATTGTTTGTCCCATTAGCAGCCTGAGCTCTGGACATCTTGCTGGCTTCTAGTGGACTTAACTGCCTCTCTCCCAGGAAAAACATTTACACAACTGTAACACGAGGGAAGTGGTCCTTACTTGAAATGACTCTGGAATTGGACAGAACTTATGAAGGCAGTGTGTTTCTCCGGTGCTGAATTAAATCCTTTTTATAAAAAGACGTCCTTTGAGAAAGGAGATGCTGTGGGCATTTGGACACTTATTGGATGAGGAAAATCATCTTATGCAACTGATGAAATTGAACGTAGTGTTGAAGTGAAAATCAGAAGCCAGAGGTCTGGAGGTTGTGGGACGGAGCACAATGACAATGCTGGGCGTGCTGCTGGTCACCAGGCAGACAGAAGCGCAGGGAAGGGAGGGCTTCTGGGCCTTTTAGAGGAAACCGAATAGACGGCACAGTCAAGTAAGGGTAATGGCTCTTCTGAAAAGTTGTTACATTGGATAAGTTTTAAAAGGAGAGCTACATATATGTAATGTGAATTTAGGCAACTGTGAAGGATGTGCTGTGAAGGGGAGTTTTCTCTCCTGTTTGGCTTACCAGGCTCAAGTCCCTTCCCTGAAGCACCCATGTGAGCAGTTCCTTATGCATTTTTTAGAGATATTCTCAAAATATGTAAATGGTATGTGCAAAATCTCGATTAAACTAGAGGGTAATGTACAATACATACACAGTTCGGTGCCATTTTTCTTTCCCTCAAAATGTGTCATGGAAATAATTTCATATATTTTGCTTCATTTATTTTAATGATTGTGTGGCATTCCATGGTAGGAATATAACATATCTTATTTAACTAGTTAACCTTCAGTGACTTATGAAGATCATGTTCCATCTTGTACTATTAGAAATAGTGCTGCAACTGGGATCCTTATCAAACATATTTTCCCCTATAAAGACCTCATTTATTTTTACTGAAAACTGTTAAACAATGGGTAGGGGGTGGGCACAGAAATAATCAATTAGCATAGGGGCCAAGGTAATAATAATTGAATAATTGGCCACATTATTTACAAAGTAGTAAGTAGTTTATAAGTAGAAATTTAAATCATATCTGTAAGAGAAAGACATTATTACTGTTTGCATCCATTCGAGCAGCTTGACTCTGAATCCTTTGCTCCTGTTTGCTGTACTGCTTCTGAATTCTTCTACTGCTACTTTGGTAGTGACCAAACATTTATTGAATACGTACTATGTGCTAAGTGACTGTCAGGCATTAATGGAAATCTTCATAATAGTATTACAGATGTTATTTAGTAGTCCTATTGGACTTTAATAATTGGTCCAAAGTCTCAAAGCTAATAAGACAGGTGCTGCAAATGGAAGGGAGGCAGGATATCTGACTCCTGAGGCTAAGGCACAACAGGGAAGAGAATTTCAGGCGTTTGTCTCTACATCTCGCAGGCTAGAAGGAGAAATGAAATTACACATGTGAAATTTAACCCATTTATGATGAAGATTGTAATTTTAACAATTTTTGCATGAAATTCATGTATTTTTCCCAGAAAAATTCAAAGAACAGAATTTGAAGAGAAAAAGATATTCTTATGTTCTGTTGTTGTGGCTGTTCCAAAAATGAGATGCTGGGTGTTGAAGGGTTAATTCAACATACCTGAGTGATCAGCAGGTTACAGGGCCATGGCAATCAGCAGTAGAAGAGAGACCTTGGCACACCAAGGGAGGCTCCACGGCTGACAGTCAGGCTGAGTGTTCTGCATGGATCCCAGATAGAACCTTCTCCAGGGAGAAAGTTTCCAAATCTGGACTGCCTTGTCCTCACTGACTGCGTCAACCTTTAAAAAATTCCACACCTATGCATTGTATTTACGTAATCAATGACCCACGGTGATGTGTGGCACTCCCCTGCCCTGGAGAAAAGGTAGTTTGAGATGGCTCTGCCCTGAGAAATCGGCAAGTGCTCACATTGGAAATTCAGAGTAAGAGCGCTAAGAAAAGGGATAGCACTCAGGTGTCTCAAGGTGGTGCCAATTTCTGGAGGTCAGTGTCTCCTATTTTCATCTCTGTCTTTCTGGCCTTGCAATGCTGCATCTTTTCAGGCAGGAAAGCAGCTATAGAGAAGCTCACTGTGGGAGCTTCTGTAAGATCAGTTGATTTTATAAAACTATAAAATCTTGTCGGACTGAGGTAGAAGGATTGCAAATTCAAGCTTAGCCTGGACAGTTTAGCAACTTAACCTGACCCTGTCTCGAAATCAAGAGTAAAAAACACAAAAAAGGATGGAGAGGCAGATCTGTGTAAAGGCCCTGGGTTCATCTGTAGTCCAAAAAAAAGTCTTATAGGTCTCATGTAAATTATAATTTGTAACTGAAGCCTTACATATTGGTTGGTTACTATTATTGCTAGCATCATTCTATAAATAAGTTTTATAATCTAGACTGTCTTTGTGTGCCCATTTTTTGGGGTCTAAAACACTGAATTTTCCTTGTTTCAGAATATTTCATTTAACTCAGTGAATTTTGATAGGGCTTCATAGAAAAATAAAGATGTCAAAAGTATATGGTGATTATAAAAATAGTAGCTAAACTATACTGCAGGTGTTTACTGCAATTCAGATATGTGCTATGGTTTTATGTGCACTGTCCTAACTCCTATCAGATAGCATTATTTTCCTCCATTTGATGGAGTCTTTTATTCAACTGGTGGAGATTAACAATTATAATGGTGTTAAAATTTTGAAATAGAGGGAAATGCTTTCTAATTCTACCTAACATAACCAACCCTTTATGTTCTCAAGTTCCATATCCATGAATTCAACCAATCACAAATTGAAAATATGCAGGAAAAAAAATATAACTGGAATGAACATGGCCAGACAGTGTTCTTATTATTCCCTTGATAATACAGTATAACAAACTACTTACAGAGTGTTTAGATGGTATTATCAATTGTAGGTATTCTACATATGATTTAAAGCATATAGGAGGATCTATGCACCTCATATGCAAATACTACATCGTTTAATACAAGGACATAAACATCCTTAGAATTTAGAATCCTTCCCTTTTTATTTATTTATTTTTTTTCCTCCGGTACCGGGAACCGAACTCACGACCTTGCGCTTGCCAGGCAGGCGCTTTGCCGCTGAGCTAAATCCCCAGCCCCAATCCTTCCCTTTTTAAAGGGGGTCTTAGAATCAAGCCTCATGAAGGCTGGGGATGGCTGTTTTTCCAATTCTGGCATTGCTCCTTCCAGACTTTGTTCAAATGTGCTCAGTAATCAATATATGAGCAATTTCATAGTCTGCTTTTTAAAATTTAAAATAGCAAGATGAAGTTGGCTTTCTTGGTCTTCCCCATTATCATATAATGACTGCCTAGAAGTAGTCACTAAAGTTTAAGTATTAATTTCTTTCTGTGGGGACATTATTTCCATTTTCTCTTATGCATTCTACTGGAATGAACATATGTAGCATATTTTATTCTCCTTGCATTTTAGGGGAGAAAGTGTCTTTCCAGATCAGAGTGAGGGTCTTTGTGACTCATTCTAACTACTGGAGTTAGGGCCATTTTGTTTTGTTTTGTTTTTCCCTTACCGGGAATCAAACTCACGACCTTGCGCTTGCCAGACAAGTGCTGTGCCACTGAGCTAAATCCCCAGCCCCAGTTAGGGCCATTTTGAGAAAAGGGCATTATTGAAACATTTATTTGGGGTTCTTAAGAGAAATGTCCACTTTAACTCTTTTAAGCAATGATGTCTAAGTATTTTAAAGACACGATTTTGAGTAAATACATGGATAATCAATATATAGTAGCCAATATAAGGCCAAGAGTGAATATTTGCATTATTTAGTTTTAAAAGTAGGTAGATTGGGCCCTGCAGAGGGTGGTGTGTGCAATACACATAAGTGTTTGTTTATCGCCATGTATTTCCTGAGTTTGACTACGTACTGGTGCCCCTGGCAGTTACCAAAGCTACAGTAGCAAATGTGATCGAAACAGCTCATTTCCAAACAGTGCCTTACCTAAAGTCATAATCAAAGATTTCTTTTTTTAATCCTCAACACGGTCCCACAAAACACTCACATTCCCTGACAGTTCAACTTCTTTTTGTTCTTTTGCTTTTATGGAGCTTATTTTTTTAATCATAACAATAGGTGAAAGAGAAAGAATTTCTTACTCTCAGAAATATATTAAATCAATATTAATGTAAATTTATTATTTCTATGAATTCCTGAAACTATATTTTTCCCCTCCCATCCAATTATAGTAGGATTTCTGAAACGTGCTTTCCTTTCCGGAATGAAAGAATCATCTTAACCTCACTGTGTATGCTTAGTTTATATCTAAAAAAGCTGGTGTACTTATCTTCCCAGGTATTTAGGCTAAATAAACAAGCATAAGGATATCTTGCAGAAATACTGTCATGTGGAAAAAGATGGGCAGAGATAACTTTATAAGATCAGCATGGGTTTGGCTTAAGACTACCTGGTCACAAAGTCAGATTTGCAGTTAATGGTTTGCTCATAGACATTAAGGCAGCACAGAGATGGAAAAGGAAACAAGGACATTTGAAAAAGAATCTCTCAGAGATTTTTTTTGAATGCTTAAATTTCTAATATCCTATAGCCTTAACATTGGGGTTAGGGTCCTCCCTATTGCAAATTTTCCCATGCCCCCCTATCTAAATACAAACCCCTAAAAAGCACATGTGTGAGATCTGGATGTATTTTTGGTCCCAAATCAATCTTGTCACTCCTCAGAAAGCAATGCAAGATAATAAGTAGTATTCACCTGATTGCTTTCCTGCTCTGAGACAGCTAGTGACGTGTGTCTTCCTGATAACCAGGACTTTCAGATCTGAGGCAGGGATAAAGGGAAGCCAGAGCTCACAGAATCTAAATTTGACAGTCGGTGGCTGAGGAGAGGGTCAGAAGGGATAGAATCTGTGACACAAATGAGAAAGAAACAAAATTTATCGGCTCCGGTTACAATGGTTAGATATCTCTTTTTCTGGCTTCCTTACAGTGGGTGACGGATCATACTTGCCAGCCGGCTAATATCATAATTAGCGAAGTTGCTACTATGTCTGCAAAGTTTAATCGAAAAATTTATCAGTAATATGATGACATCGTCACAGAGATCACAAGGGACACAGAGTCGACTTTTGCTCAAGATGGAATGAAACTGTGTGGACAAGATGAGAAATTCCGAACCTGCTCGGCCAAAGGTAGGTTCTCTTATAATTTCCTATGCTGTTTTTCTTAATCAAGATTTCTGTTTGGTGGTCGGTAGGTTCTTTTTTACTTTTATGACTGAAATGATTCATATACAGACCTATATGATTTTTGAGCATTTACAGTATATTCTCTGGAAGCTTTGGGATTTTTATTTCCAAAATCCGAAAACTCATATATGACGAAGTAGCTTTTTGGTACTGAGAATGGAATGTAAAACATTGTTTTGCCTGTTTTGATGGCTAGCTCACCTCTATCAGTTTTCAGGAGAACTATTTGGTAGCAAATATCAATTGAACATTTATATTGTGTAGCACTGAATTTATTTGGCTCAACAGTGTAAAAGCCGTTATTTTGTTTTACTCTTGTGTCAATCCAGTAATAAGAGAAAGAAAAAGAAAAGTAAAGGCAGTTTTAGAATATACAGAGGTTCTGTTTTGGGTTTAAGAAGTAATCGAAGTAAGAAGTAGGGGTCTGAGGTCTTGATTTAAATCACAAACCTCACACAAATTAATTGGAGCTTTTAAAAAATTTTAGTGAAAACTTCTGCGCTGTTCTCCACTGCCAGTCTGCCCATTGAATGCTATAGCTATGTTTTCTTTTTCCTATGATTTGCTTTGCTTGTTTCAACAGTCAAGCTCTGGGGTGTTTCTCAAATCGCAATCCTCCCATGTTGCTAATTAGTGCGTGTGAATATTGATGAAGGGAGGCTGATGTCTCTGGGTACATGACGGGGCACTTCCTCTGAGTAAAAGAAAGGGACAAAAAGGTCTCAAAATGTGCGCAGAAGTCAAGTTTGGGCTATTTATGCTGTGTCGCACCTCAGCGAGAGCAGCATTATACTCAATTTGCAATATAATCAGAGACAAACATTACGGCTCTACTTTCCCTCTGTGGTCATCCAGGCCACTACATCAGGGCAAAGAGCCACAATTTGCCTTTTGCTCATTCCTATTGTCTTTTGTGTGAATAGCAGTTTTTAAACCTTGTAGAAAAACATTCCCCAACGAATTAATACACAGCATGTGTATTTTAAGTAAGTCCATTTAAATTTTCTCCTAGTTTTATTCTCAACTACAGGAAGCTTCACAATCTCAGTATATTGATTTTTAAATTTTGGCATTAAGATTTCACATTCTCAGATAAAAATAATGAATTGCGTTATGGAATTATGAATTTGAAAGCCTTTAAGTGCCCAAACAATTTAAAGCATCTTTTCAAAATTTGGGTTAAAATTTGACGTAACACTTTTTTACTGTGACTAAAATGTAATGACGCTGATTGTCAAAGCTGAAAGTAGAGGTTTTGATTATTATTTTATTATATTCTGGACATCCTTTCCACAGAATGTTACTTATCTAATGGAAACTTTTTGAATTCTTTAACTTTCATTCCCCGTTCACCCAGTATCTGGTACATAACAGGTACTCAGTGCATAGTCAGCAAGAGAAAAAATTAATAAGTGTGCGTACTGCTGCTGTTACTCAATTACAGTTAACATTTACTTCTTCCAAATCAATAACTTCTGCACACAGTAAATATTGTGAATACAAACAGGTAGATGAATGGCATAATCACAGAAAATACAGAGGATTAGTTAAAATATATACTGTTGTTTTAACTTTAACCTCCATAATAATTTGTGTAACTGAGACTTGGTAGCCTAAGAACTCTGTTGGGGTATCAAAAGTCTTTGAGGATTAGAAGGGGCCGGGAAGGTTGTTCACAGCTGATCCCACCCCCTTTAAAATGGGATTATCTCCTCAGAAATGTAGAAATGAACTCTTGTCAGAATTTCAAAGGAATTATATTTTGGTAAAATGTGCTAATGTAAAGAGTGAGAAGATTAGTGATGCATAATGAATGAAATGCATTCTTTTACATGGAAATAGGAAAAGAATAAATGTCCTGCAGGTGACTGGGGCTGTAACAATTTTATTTAAGATTAAAGTCTGATTGACCCTTGTTAGAATGATTAACCTTTCTGAAATTAGAGGCTATATCTGAATTAGTGAGTCCAATTTAAATGCAAACATTGAGTAGGTCCTGTGTCATTAAAATAATAATTTTTAAAAACTCTCTTATTTTAATTTTCATTTTTGTGCATCTGGATGATGTGCTATTTTGGAAGTACTGTAGCTTTGGCAGGAGTGTCTTAGTGGCAGAGAATCAAGCAATAATGTGTACGTAACTGAGAACCTGCGGGGAAAATGTCCCAGGTACCACTTCCCCCCAAACACCAAAACCACCACCCCAACGAAAGTAAGAAATATGAAGCACAGCTGAAACTGCATGTTCTCTATAGCAAACCAATCTAGGTTAGGAAAAAATAGCAGGAACACTTCTAACCAAACGACAGCCACCTAAACTGCATAGCACCCCCATGTGAAATCTGTATAGTGGCTCCTGAAAATGTGTGCTTTTGGGGTCAGTTGCACCCAAAGCAGCTCTTGAAAGTTACTTTGGATATCTGGAATTTTGTTTCCCCGTGGTCTCTGACAGTCTCGGGATACAATCAGAATTTTCACTAAGTTTAAAAACATTATAAGAGAAGCAAAGTCTAATTGTTTGCAATGTTATATAATGGTTTGTCTTTGTTTTCACTTCTTAGACTTTCTTCGAGATGTAGTGAAGTCCTCAAAAACTGTTTCCATTTTTCATATCGCATTAATTTTCCTATTACCAAGCCAGTGAATTTTTTTTTTTTTTTTAGTTTTAGGTCCCACCACACAATGAATACGTCTCTCTTTTATGTGTCTGTGAACTATTAAAATGGTAATAAAAGTTCTCTTCATTCCATAGGTAATTTATTTCTCTCTCTTTTCATCAAAGAATTCACTCTGAATATGTCAAGGTAGAAAAGTCCCAGGCATTATAGTGTAAAAATTAAGAAGCCTGAGGTGCTGTAGTTTATTTCTGCACAAGCTTTTCATGTATGCTTTCAACATCCTTCTGAAAGATGAGATTCTACTGTAGGCCTGTGAAAAAAGTCAAAGATGAAATACTTGTGGAAGAGAAACAGATTATTCAGTTCACAAAGTGACTCTGTAATCCCCCAGAGAGCTGGATAATACCTTGAAGCATAGATTAATAATATGTTTAACTAAGATCTGTTTGCTGTAAGGATCATTTCCTAATTCTTAATTGTGGGCCAAGCATTCATCATAAACTATAAACAAATATGCTATTCTGTTTCTTGTCTGATAAAGTGCAGGCGATCAGCTTTAGCTTTGGTATAATGAATTGTCAATCTTTTAAAAACCCAATTGTTCCACGATAATACTTGTCTTCTTATGAAAGATAATTTTTGCTAAAGAATAAACACAACAACTATATTAATTCCTAAAATATGTACTCTTAATTCTTCAGATATAATTAAAAATCTTCTTTAGAATAATTTTACTTGACTTCTTACAAGAACTAGTGAAAATGACTTTCCGTATTCACATTTGCTGCAAATACAGTAATATTCTTTAAACATAAAAAGCTTATATGCCAAAATACTGATAATATTTTCCTCTCTATTGCTATTAATTATCAGCTTTTTTCATAAAAGTAGATCATGGCTTGGGAAGGTAAGATTCATATTGTCTTAGAGAAGAAAAAAGGTGTTAGTGAAAAAGCAAAGCAAAATGATTATATTTTGTTAAGCCCCAAATCCAGTCATTTGTTTTGCTGCAGTGTGCTGTAAAGACATTTTTATTTCTTTATGTTGTCTTTATTTTCTGGCATTTGGTTCCTCTCTAATTTACCCAGCCCTAGACCTGGCATTTTCTCTCATAGTTGTGAAATAATATTAATAAGCCAAGATTAATTCCTTTGATATATTCATAAACCAATATTTCAACTGAAGTCCTTCTGTCTAAAAAGTCAGCAGTTTAAAAAAATAACCAAAATGTTGTTGTATTCATTGTTTTATCCATTGCATATTATGAGTCATCAACTTAATTTAATTTCACAAACATTGAGAGCAGTCTTACCATGAGCAATTTTATTTTTCTGGACAAAAGAGAATGAGACATGCCAGACATAAGATTTTCATTTGTTTTCATAGTAAAAAAAGTAGTCACCTATGAATGTTTTAAGATGTTATTTTCTAAGAGATCATTCTAGAATAGAGTTATTTGTTTGACATTAATCAAGTGAAGTATTTCTTCTAGTTTATTTGATAAAGTCATAGAAATACTCCAGAAATAATGAATACCCCAATGTTAACTTTCCAGCTTAAATGGGAAGATTAGTTTCCTAGTACTAGTTTTCAGGTGAGTTGGAATGTAATGACCAAATGTAGGATAGTGGTGTGTGGCCTATTTGATCTACTCTGTGTGATGTGTAATTAAAATTATTATGCCAGTTGTACACACGAGATTGGCCCTGTATTATCTCTGCTGAATTGGTTTCAGGATTCCTGTGGATGCTCAAGTCCCTTCTATAAAATGACATGGTATTTACGTGGTATTTACCTACTCACATCCTTTCAATACTGTCAATAATCTCCAGACCACTCAGAAAATTTAAATGTTGTGCAGATAGTTTTGTGCTATATCATTTAAGGAATAATGACAGGAAAAAGGTAATTTGTGGTCAGTAGAGATACGAATTGTAAAAAATATTTTCCATCCCTGTCTGGCTGAACCCACATGCGAGAGACTACAGATATAGAGGACTGACTGTACTTTGCAATTTGGAGAACAGTTTTAAAATCTAAGGTGTGTTCACCTTCAGCAACTCTGGAGTCGTCACTGACCCACATTCTGTGCCACTGTGTCATTATTGAGCCCTGCTTATGCCCCAAGTACCCTCCCACACCCACTGAGGGGGGTCTGTGAGCCATGCTTTATGGACCAGGAGCCCAAACTGAGTGGTCATGAGATTTTCTTTTTTGGTTTTTCTCCGGTACCGGGAACCGAACTCACGACCTTGCGCTTGCCAGGCAGGCGCTTTTGCCGCTGAGCTAAATCCCCAGCCCTGGTCATGAGATTTTCTTGAAGCT